GTATCCCTTTCTGTTAATATACTGGCTGGCCTGGTGGCCCGGTCCCAGGATAGGGATGTGAGTCCCATCTATAGCCCCACCGCAGTTTGAGAATCCCATCGCGGCGAAGCCATCTATGATGGCCTGCGCGTTTCCCAGGGTCACTACCTTTGACAGCAGTACCTTGACGATTGCCTTGGCTACTTGCAGGACAACAACCCCCACGGTAGATTTGCCCACGCCAAAGTGGTTCGCGACTGACCGGTAGCTGTCCGGCGTTGCAAGCTTCCAAAGGGCTATGGCCACTCGCTTCTGGACAGTCAGGGCTGCTCGCATCCAGGTGTCCCGGCGCTTCAGGGGAGGGGACAGCAACTCACAAAGTTCGAGGAAAGTCCCCTTCCGCATGCGAAAGTTTCTCAGCCACTGGGATTCGTCCCAGACCTGCAGCACTATGCGGTCCCACCAGTCCGTGCTTGTTTCCCGGGCCCAGAATCGCCGTTCCACAATATCCACATGACCCATTGCCACCGTGATGTCCTGGGCGCTGGGTCTCGTGGTTTCTGACAGCTCTGTGCTACTCTCCGACTTCAGGCCCTGGTGCCGTAGCCTCCTCGCCTGATTTCTCTGCATCTGCCTCAGGGAAAGGTGTATGATAAGCTGCGAGGCGTTGAGAACGGCCACAACTGCAGCGATGGTCGCAGCGGGATCCATGATCGCAGTGCTGTGGCGTCCGCGCTGTCACTGACCAGAAAAGTGCGCGAACTGATTTCCCGCCGGCGCTTTCAGGGAGGGAGGGCGGTAGTGACGGTTGGATGACGACAGTTACCCAAAAGCACCCTCGCCACATTTTTTTACCCAGAAGGCATTGGCGGATCGACCCAGAATTCCAATGGGCAGCGGGGACTGCGGGAACTGTGGGATAGATGCCCACAGTGCACTGCTTCCAATGTCGACGCTTTCCCCGTTAGTGTGGACTCACAAAGTCGAATTACTGTCCTTAGTGTAGACACACACGTTCGACTTTCTAATATCGATTGCACATATTCGATTTAACTAAAATCGAACTACTCTCGTAGTGTAGACATACCCCTAGACTGTCACTTTTTTAGTGCACAATTTCTTTTGGGCACTCAAAGTTCTCTGGGTCGCTCATTAAGTCAATTTTCCAGTTATCCTCAGTCATTTTGATGAGACCTTTGATACCTGGGCAGGTCAGGTATTTCACTCCCAACCCAGCTCAGATGTTAAATTTAACTGAAAAAGGATAGAAGTGTCTTGTTTAAAAATATGAACCATCAACACTTGCACTGCATGTGTTAAGGGGCTGCTCCTGCAAGGTGATGAGCACCCTCAAATCCCTGCTTTCACTGCGCATTGAGAGAGCTCAGCATGCCACCAGTTCCAGATCCAACTAATCAAATTTAAAATTGCCTCCTGTTCTTCACAAGAATATCATTTTCCAAGAGTACTGCAAATGGCTTCTAAGCCTGGGAGCTGGTCTGACATTCATTTTGTCAAGAGCTGGCCAGGGGGAAATGTATTAGATCAGACTCAGCTTTGCAGACTATGTATTCAGGCATTGGTAAGGATATTTAGAAGGCTATTAGTTAAATAGTCAGGGTTACTGTTAACCCCAAATTAATACTCTCCATTAATTGTTGAGTTATTCACAATACAGAAAAAGCTGCTACCTTGCAAATGTACTTAAAGGCAAATACAGAACCAGAAGAATAAAGGTCTGTGGCAGACCCAGCCGTTGGAGGCTGGAGAGTTTGATTCTACTCTCAGCTCTGCTGCAGACTTCTCTGCACCTCATTTTCCCCTTTTGTAGGCTGGATTGATAACAGTTATAGGCTTTATAGGGTATTTTAAGGCTCAGTTCATTAATATTTGTTACATGCTTTGTTTTCACAGAGTGTCTATCATCTAAGGATGATATGTGATACACCGTGGTCAGCTCTTTTTATGGCGGATGTTGATGCAATGCTCTGATTTATCAATCTCTTTGAATATATCTGGAAAATTATCTCCCTGTAAGGGAGAGAAAAAGAAATCCATTTTAATCTGCTGCCTCTTTAGACTGAGGTAACTTAAACAAGTACAATTAGCTCCTATTGAGCAAGCCATAATGTGTGGCACTCCAGATACACACATCATTTCTTTCAATAGTCAGACACAATACAATGATCTTATATATTATTAGGAATAAGCAAGACAAGGGTGCTTTGACTTGTCCACAACAACAACAAAATCCATTTTCATATTTGTATCAAGCCTGCTATTCAAGCTGCAATATCTAAGCACTGCTTATATGGAATCAGACAAGACCTATGCCGTACAATAGCTGGCCTGACATAGAAACACCTTATTTCTGTAGTTAGCATTGGTTTGCCTATTATAATGGCTCATTCCATGTACCTGAGTTAATATTTGCTTTAGCATTTCAACAATAAAGCCTAGTTTCTTGAACATCAGATCACATCCAGCTAAAACATACTAAATGACATGGTAGCCCACACTTTGACAATTTTTATTTTAAACAAGGGTTTATATTTAATTAAATGAATAGTAATTTAGCCACTATTTTACATAGATATTGAAGCTTAGATGACCCTGTACAACCCAAGCTCCTTGCATTGAGTGATCTTAAATGCCACATGGAAGAATACGAAGAACCTGAGCTAAAAGTGTCAGGCCTGATTCTGAGGTATGGCGAAGCTGTCATGGCACAGAATCCAAGTAGTATGGCAAAGATGGCTATATGCTGATGCTACAATCCCTAGGGAATCTCCCACATTGGGTGACTTTTCAGCTGGCTAGTTAGGAAAGCTTTACTGCAGGCCATCCTAGTGAGAACTGGGCCCCTGGCCTTCCTTGAGAACGTCCTTATACTGGTTGGTTTGTGACTCAAACTTCATAATAATTTAAATCAAACAAAGTAAAAGTACTTCTGACCTCTGGCTTAAAAAAAGGTTAGTTTTAAATATGGTGAACATATTAATTTACAATAAAAGTCTTTCTTGCCTGGAAACCTTTTACCCAAAACCTGAATTGATCTTTGTTCCGCAGATCTCTGCACTTCCAGTTTCAAAGTGGCGACCGAAAGAGGAAGAGCTAAAAGGCAGCAGGAGAGGCTATCCTGGAAGTATTAAGTGCTGTCAGTGTGACATATGGAATATTTCCACCCAGACCAGATAAAGGAAGCACTAAAAATATTGCAGGAATCTGCTCTCCTGAGGTTTCCAGCCCACTGCAGATCTGAATAGTTTGTGTCATTTGGATAAGTAGCGAAACATGTGGGTGTTTCTCTTAACTAAACCCAACCTCTGAGGTTCACTCATCATCACTTCAAATTCTGCTATCTGATGGGACTTTGCAAAAAAAAAAAAGAGACACTAGTCTAGCGAACTGAGTACCAGACAGAGAGCCAGTCTAAGGCCGTGGCTACACTCGAAACTTCAAAGCACTGCCGCGGGAGCGCTCCCACAGCAGCGAGTGTGGTCCACCTCCATGAGGGGATTAGCTTACAGCGCTGTTTACACTGGTGCTTTACAGCGCTGTAACTTGTTGCGCTCAGGGGTGTGTTTTTTCACACCCCTGAGCGAGAAAGTTGCAGCACTGTAAAGCACCAGTGTAGCCATAGCCTTAGTTGTAATACTTGCTTTTGCAATGACTTGCTGTGTGGCCTTGGAAAGTCACTTAGCACCTTTGAGTATCTTTACACATAGGTGCTGGAACTAGGGGTGCGGGGGGTGCTGCTGCACCCCCTGACTTGAAGTGGTTTCCATTATATACAGGGTTTACAGTTTGGTTCAATGGCTCTCAGCACCCTCACTATACAAATCGTTCCAGCACCCCTGTGTCTACAGAGCATTATGGAGTGAGTGGGAGTAAACTTCTCAGACTCAGGCTAGTGCACTTCACCGAGTGCTCCAAAAAACAACTGTATAGGCAACGCTTTGAGTTATGGCTCATGCTGTAGCTTGGTTCAGAACCTCTCCAGCTCAAGCCACAACTTCAAAGCTTTATCTATGCAGCTATTTTTAGAGCGCTAGCACAAGCTCTGCTAGCCTAAGTCTGTCTACCCAGGCTGGGTGCTTGCTTCTGCTCACCCCAAAATGTTGTGTAGACGTATACCCATTGTGTCTCAGTTTTCTACATTTACATTGGGTTCAAGCCACAAACTTAAATCCAGATGCAGGCTCGTCCAAAGTTCAGAGAGTGTTGGTCTGTACTCATTTCTAAAGGGATGAGAATATTTACCTCAAAAGGGTTTTTTAGGAGTAACTAGTTAATCTTTTCAGAACACTTTAAAGATGTAAAGAACTGGCTAAGCGCTAAGGATTATTTTTTAGCATATTGAAAACCAGAAAAGATACACTTGGGGATCCAGAAGGCTAAACCCATCCCCACTCTGAGGTCTCTGGCTTCATGGACCTGCACACATTTCATAACAGCAGGCAGCAAAGAATATTAAAATTGCTGAGCCTGGATCCTTTTTTTAGTTAGTAGGAATATATCTTAGAATATAACACCTTTCAGCACATTTATAGAGCATTAATTTTACAGTATCTCATATCTAACTCTTTCACACTTTTCTGAAGTCCTGTATTTATGACTACAAAAACTGCCACAATATTGTAAATTTGTGTGATAGAGATGCTGATAACTTAAGCCCCATATCGTTTAAACACTGACACCCCCCCCAAAAAAAAAACAAAAAAACACCACACACACACACACCACAAAGCAAGTTTAAATAGCTTGTGTCCTGTTAACGTCATCCTGTTATCTCCCTGTTTTATCCAGGAAGATCTCATTCTCATTTGAAATTAAATAGACTGTTCTTTGTAGCTGTGACATTGAATGCAAAGCAGCTGTTCTTTCACTTCATACAGAAGGATATAATTTATTTTAACAACTGCACATCTGAATTGCAATTTCTTATTAGTTCTGCTAAATGTGGATTATCCATAGCCCCATGATAAAACCTATAATGGCACAGTTAGAAGCCTACTTACTAGTGTTCCATAATGTCCATTCAGGAGCATCAGAGGCTGAAATACAGTCTCTGTGATCAGGAGATTCAGTTCCCTGCAGCATTCAGACAATTGGTCCCATTATGGTCATCAGGCGGCTGAGTTAAAGGGTGGCCTTGCAAAAACATAAACAGCTTGTCAGCACAAGCCAAAGAGGCGGGACTGCAGTATCAGGGGACAATGTGAGCCAATGATTAGCCTCTTTAGGTTCTGTTTGTTTAAGATATTGTGTTTCATTCTTAAGAAGGGGAAAGTAGGGGAGTAAGAGGAGCTGACTAGGAAGAAACAATGAATGTTGTGCTGTTTACAACTAACCAGAAAAAGGCTTAGAGCAGAAGGGGGGAGGGGGGGGATCAATGTGTCATTTCAGGAAAAACACATTTGCTTCACTTACATATAATCATTTTCAGAAATCTCACAGGCATCTGCATTGCATTTAGCCTGGTCCTGCTTTTAGATCAATAAAAACACTAGGAGCACAGCTGTGGCCCATGTTCACTATAGAAATTTTTTTTTCTCTTGCCCACACTCTTACAGATGTTTCCAGAGAAAAGAATTGACAAAATTCACTGTGATCTTCCTCCTCTCACCCCTTCCCAGCACACTCTACTTCTTTCACCTTCTTTCCCCTGACAGAGGTTTCTCATTTGCTGTCTAACACCGCACGCTGCCATCTTGGCCCTATCCATTCCCCTAACCTCCCTCAGCCTCACTCCAATCTCTTTCCTCTCCCTTGTCCTCAATAATACCAAGCCCTTTTGGTCCTTTATTCATGCTACCACCTTGGTCTCATCAAGTCTCTAAGGACCTCTTCCTGGCTCAATCTCAAGTTCTATACTGCAGCCTCACCCAAAAACAGCAAAACGTCACTTCTTAAAAATCAAGTGCTCCGTTGGCTTTCACCTGGTTCTCCTCTTACCTTTCTGATTAATTGAGCCTTCAACGTCTCCTCCAGAGTGTCTGCCACTTTCCATGGTTGTGCCACAGGCTATGGTCTTGGTTACCCTCCTATACTCTGTCTAGGTAGTATGCAACTTCTTCTAACACTTTTATGTCAATGACTCAGTTATGCCCTTCCACTCCTCACCTTTCTCCTTCCATCCAATCACATATTTTAGACTGTTATTTGAATATCTCCTCCCAGATGTCTTGTCAATTGTAATATAACCTAGCCCCATCTGATCTCCTGATCTTTCCTTCAAATTCCTTGTTCAGGGTCAGATTAGGTAATCCACTGCCCTATTCACACACACCATGATACAGGGTCCCTTGAGGCTCCACCTTCATGACCCTCTCCCAGAGCCATGGCCCACCATTCCCTTCCCAAGAGGGCCTTCTCCCCTCAGTCTCACAGCAGGCCCTTCTGAATCTCGGGAACAATAAGGATAGCATTTGGAGTCCCCTTTCCCACCTGGACAGTCGGGGTGGCAGCAGGGTCCCCCAGCATTTACTCCAGCAGCCAGGGCGTATTTGCTTAGGTGGGGGAATGGAATCCCCTACAAAGGTGAGTGTTAGACTGAAACAATAGTTCTGAGAGGTGTGAACTACACTATCTTTCTCAATGCGGTGTTAATGCTATCTGCAGACTCAGGCACACATCACTGCATCAGATAAGCTTGAGTCACATTTTCATTTTCCTTCACAATCAGGAGGGATAGAATCTTTTTTTTTTTTTTTTAAATGAACACTGGGATTCTGGTGCAATCACATGACTCAGTAGCTGGGTACTAAAACATGGGCCTATAGTGCCTATACCCTAATCCAGCTCTGTTCTCTTCACTACCTCTATGCTCTGTTATTTTTGACATCATCATTTCACCAGGCCCACACATCCAGGCTGTGATAAAATCTTACTGCTTCTTCCTCATAACAGTTCTACAACCCACCCTTTCTTTTCTGTCCAGTCAGCTAACATCATCATCTACACCCTCATCATCTCTAGTTTTGGTTATTGCAGCTTCCCTTGCTCTGGCCTCCCTAATGCACATATGGTTCCTATCTCATCCTTAGAAAAGCAGCTACTAAGATCATCTTAGCTCATCATTCTGACCACATCACTCTCCTTGTTGGAATCCCTCCACCCATAACAAGCTCAAGATTTTTGTTGTAACCTTCAAAGCCCTTCACAACTCTGCCCTTCCCCATTTATCCCCTCTACTGCTTGCATTGCCCCCGTCCTCTCCACTCCTCCAAAAGTGTTGGTCTTGAATGTTGTGCACTTGTCTACTCCTCCCACAAACTTTTTCATTTCACCCTGACTCTTATGAATGAAATGCCCTCCCAGAACAGATCTAGAAGACATGGATAGCTCAGTGGTCTAAGCATTAGCTTGCTAAACCCAGGGTTGTGAGCTCAATCCTTAAGAGGGCCATTTAGGGAACTGGGGTAAAAATCTCTCTGGGGTTTGGTTCTGCTTTCAGCAGGGGGTTGGACTAGATGATCTCCTAAGGTCCCTGGTATTCTATGATTCCTTCAAATCCATTTGCTTCTGCCACAATGCTTACAAGAAATGGGTCATAGCTGAGTTGGGGAGGGGCAGTAGAGGGAGGTGGATGAGGGACAGTTGTGGAAATTGATATTTATTTATGTAATTACAAAGCAATACAAAAAATTATACCTATATACAATTGTTCCATACATAACTATTTTATGTATTTGCTTATCTCCCTCTCATCCATTCGACATACGTTGCTTATTCTCTTCTACTATTAGATCTTAGGGGTAGGGACTGGCAACAAATATCCACGATGGATTTGTATAAGGTGCACAAACACTGTACCTGAGTTTGTGGCAGAGCTGTGAATAGCTATGAACAGACAGTTTGTCTGTTTGTAGCTATCTCATCTCTGATTTCCATGGCAATTTCTTTAAGATGCTAATGCAGTGTAGCCACAAATAAAGAAACAAAGGAGAGTGCAAGAACGAGCTGATTGAGTGGACTATGCTGAAAAGGCTCACTCTTCAGAAAAAATCATTCTCAGTAGAATTCCTTCAACACCAATGGAGTTATGCCAAGGATGAATTTGGCTCCTTGTCTACCCGAGGAAATTTGTTACTGGTGCTATCAACAGTGTAAGCTCAAGTGTGGACTGAGTGCTTGTGTTTTTACTGGCTAATCCTCTGCTGAGTCCCCTGGGAGATATCACTCTTTAAACACGAGATCCGAAAGCTACTGACCCCATGGCAGCAACCACTAGTGCACATCTCTAAATCTGAGCTTTTTTGTTTGTTTGTTTGTTTAAATATTTTCTCACTTGAAATTGGCTTTTTGATTAAAAGGACATTTTTGAAAGAAAAAAAACTGTCATAAAAATTGTTTAATTTCTCAATAAAAAAAGAAAATATTTGGTTTTCTGCAACGGAAACCAAAAAATATTTGGTTAAAATCATAAAAAACTCATTCCACACCTCTTCCTGGCCTTTGGGTTTAATCTAGTTTCACCTATGTTCCTTACCCCTTCCCAGACCTCAGAACATGCAGTTTATCTCTACTCCCTCCTTATTCTTCACCCTGGAACCAGAGTCTCCCTTCCTTTTTCCAGGCCTCAGTCCAGCCTGCCTCACTGTTCCCCTGTGCCCCTTTCTTCTCAGACTGCAATCCCACTTCAGTATCATTTCCCTTGTATTCCCAGACCTCAGCCCAATCCAGGCCCCACCTCAGTTTAAATCTCAGTTTAAATCCGCATGGTTTAAATCTCGCCTGTTTCCCCATGAATAGCTGTCATGCATATAACTCGGTACTTTTCTTTTCAGGTTGCCCATGCTGAACAAAGTACAGTTTGTAGTTTAACATTTTATTGGCATGCTTTCAATTGTAAAGTGGGTCACAAGTTACTTCTTTACAACTAAAGAACTTGGGGGGGGGGGAGAGGAGGGACGGACTCCAGAAGTGAAGTGATTTGATTATTTTTATTTTGTAGAAGAAAACAAAGGCATATGGCAGAAATTGAAAAGGAGATCACATGCAGATTCAGTGCACTGAAATATGGGATCACAATCAACGGAAAACTGGGCTGAGTCTCAGTTCAGACCATGTGTATTAACCTTTGGACCATTTCCTAATTCAAGAGAGAACTACCTATTATGAAAATATTTAATCCCCTTATGATACCTCCCAAAGTACAACAAGTGCCAAGTAAGACTCTGGGGATGTGCCTGTATCTTCTGAAGCCTCATATGAAAAAAGAAAATGTTCCCCCATTCCCTTTCATTTAACAAATTATTGTTTGCCACAACCTCCTCTTTAGGCATCCAAGCATGGATGTATTATAGCTATATACATCTGTTACTCCTGAGGGAATTCTGCACCTAAATATTCCGCACACAATATTTAAAAATTCTGTATATTTTATTTGTTAAAATTACACAACATAATCACACCATTTTTAATTATTTGCTGACAAGTATTTTGAAATAAATTACCAACATAAATGAAAATGGTATGGTTATTGTTATTGTGTTTCTGTATTATTTTGACAATTAAAATAGGCAGAACTTTGCAGAATTTTAATTTTTTGGTGCAGAATTCCCTCAAGATTCTGTGTAGTGCAATCTGGGTGTGGATAGCTTGGTGTGGGATCTGGGAGTGGGGGAATGGGATTCTGAAGGGGAGTGCAAGTTAGGGCTCAGTGGGTTGGGTTGGGGGAGTGGGGCTTGGTGGGGGAGCAGGGTGTAGCCGGTTGGGGCTCAGTGGGGTGAGGGTCTAGGGGGCCCCTGATGCAGGGGGTGAGGCTCAGCAGGCTAGTGGTTTGGGGGGCTCGGTGGGGGGGGGTTCTGGGTGTGGGAGGGCTCCTGATGCAGAAGGAGCTCTGGGTGCACGGGTGGAGGGAAGGGTCACTGTACAGGGCGCTGCTCCCCCTGTCCGCCCAAACCCTGTGCATCTGGACTCCCCCCTGCACCCAACCTCCTGCTGAGCCTCAACCCCCTGCACCCAAACATTCCCCCTGCCCCCCACAGTGCAGAGCTTCCTCCAGCGAGGGGAAGTTTGTGGGGCTTGATCTGATCCAGCCCCGGCTGCTCAGTGCAGGGAAGGGGAACTCCATTTCTGTCCTCCTCCCCTCTCCCCCAGCTGGGACTAACGTCCCTGGGGGCATTATCAGCAAA